AACCAGGTGTAAAATCTTCTATGGAAACACTTTGTCCAGGTGTAACAGGCACTTTTTTCTTTTTTGTCACGTTTGACTTGCAAACGTTTTTTCCTGAATTCAAAAAATCCACAAGATGCTACATAGGTTAGGGACACGTTTTCGCCATCATTTGGTTTGGAAGTCGTTTCAATACTTGATTCCTATCTAGTGGAATAATACCAGTTCCAAAAAACCTTTTTTAATATTTACTTCTAAGGTCTTTATCTCATCAAGTGCTTTTTTCAGTAAGGTTGGAAAAAACTGTTTTGGGATAAGTCCTTTACATTTGTTCTTTCAGTTGAATAATTTTGATTTTGAGAAAAACCATTATTTTGATGATGTTTTACTTTTAGCACCAGCAAGGAGCGTTAAAAGATTCCTATTAGCACCATCTTATCAACATACATTAAACAACAAAGAATCTTAGTTCGCCAATTTTTTTTCTGTTTAAATATTGCTATTAAACTTTTTTAAAACTAGTCCGTGCTCCCTTATTACGGCCCTGCTCACTATCATTAAGGAGTCATAATGGAATGCCCAAAAGGTAACAATACACCAGCGTTGGTCACTCGACCGGGTTATCCGGTACATTCTGTTGTCTGAAAATGATCTTCATCTTCACTCACCTGCGTGTGTTCTAGTCTTCTAGTAGACAGCCACGAAGAATCAGTGTTTATAGTGAATCCACTTTCCATTTCTTGCATTGGATTGCTGTGCTGTTGTTAAGCTTGTATTATACCGAGTAAGTTTTATATTTATAGCAAATTTGATTATTTGATGCAACTGATTTTAATATAGGTAGCAAAAAATATACGAGGTAGAATAAAATAGTACATTAAACAATTTTTAAATTTTATTTTAAATTTAAAATAATATTTTAATAGAGGATTCTATGTTATACATAAATTAAATACAAAGTTGAATATAGACGTTTCTACAACTTGGCATCTTCAATTTTGTCGTTTTATGTAAAATTTTAATACAAATGAATTCATCTGTTTAATACTTTTAAATGATTTTAAAAATTAATTATATTTCTGTGCCATTAATTTGTATGAATAATATTGATCTATAGTCTAGGCGGGATTTGTTTTGGATTGGACATTTTCTATAGGAAACTATTTTTTTGCTGGAATCCCTTCAGGATGTGCCCAATATCGATAATCACGATATGCGCCAGTCGCAAACCCTGTGCTAAATTTTGTATTTAACAAAATCTGAAAACAATTGAAAATTTCTCATTTTTTGCTCCTATTTTCGTTTATAATTCGGAAAATATTGATCCTAGAAGAAAAATTATAAGAAGTTAAAAGTTTCGTTATTCAATTTTACACAATATTTCGTTAGCTAGAAATTGAAAGTTTAATGTTTATTGTTGAAAAAATAGCAATAATTGAAAAAAAAGTACAAAAAAATGAAGTTATTCCTTTAAATGTTTTCGACTTTCTAAACTTGACTTACAAGCTCCATATTTCGCCTAGAAAAACTTTTTAATATGTTTAAAACGTGTGCTAAATTTTGTTAAGATCGGTCGGATAGGTTTTGCATAATAATTTTGCAATCCAGCCTACTGGAAAAAAATCTCAAATTTTAAAATTTATAGTAGGCCCTAAATAAGGCCCTCAGATAGTTGCAAATTTTTTTACATATAAAGGAAGGCTCAAACTTTCAAACGCTTTTTGTAAAATTCAAATCGGTTCACTAGGAGAGCCAAGAAATTTTTTTAAAATTTTAAACATTTTTTAGGCTTATAAACAAATTGAATAACTTTATGAGCTTTAAACATATCAATTTCAAAATTTATACACTTAAAGAACATTAAAAGACGCTTCTTAAAAAAAAAGAAACATTCGGCTTACTGGTTGCCGAGATATTGAAGGTCAAAGTTGGCATACATTTGCCGTGTAACCATAAGTGATAGAGGGCTCGTTTTTAAACAAAGACTTCATACTGCTATAAATCCCTTCAAAAATAACTCTAAACTATTAAATCTAAAATTTTGGACATAACGACCACTCTCCATGAAAAGCAACTAAGAAATTTAAGAGACTCATTCTTACAATATCATCACACAAATTGATGACCAATTTGCTATACCAAAACAACGAAAAGCTGCAGTTTTCATTGAACACTTAGAGGATGTGTTCACACCACTACAAAATATGGGCGATAAAGAAATAGATAACTTTCTTGGCGCCCATGCTAATTGTCACTGTCAGTGTGCTCAACATCTCCTTCTAAAGTTATGGAAGTACTGGAGAAATCCTAAAACATTTAACAGTGAAAGAAATAGTACTCCTAAGAATACTTTTCAACCGAATACTCAACCTAACTCAAAACCCAATGGAAGTACCTACGCTGAAATAATTATGATTGCTAAACCTAGAAAACCACCCACTTAAACAACTTTATGCCAACCTCCAAGCCTCCTCGGCAATATAACTATAAATAATAACAGACACTCGGCAAGTTATGGGTACTTATTTTTCTACTTTCTATGCTGTCCTCAACAGAGCATGGCGACCACATTTCTTAAAGTTTCTCTGTCCTTAGCAACATGGAATAATTTTTTTCTAAATTTTAGAAGCCATGACTTTTTTTATTTTTGTTGAGACTCACTGTCCAAAACGAAATAAGACACTGTAAACTGTTAAAGAATTCCACAATTTTCATTATTTTTTAGGATTATATGAATTAAATTATTTCCATCATGATGTCTCTGTAGGCACCTTTGTCACTCTATGAATTTCTTACTTCTCCAGTTTTATATATTGTTTCTATGGAGTTGTAATGAGATAACAGATATGGATTGTAATGAGAATTACATTATACATTTATTTTGATGCTTCCATTTCCAAACCAGAAGTAATTTTCAAAAAAGTTTCTGTGCTATCATGCATATCCAAATCGAGTGTAGTACTCTTTTTATATATCAATTTAAATGTTAATGTATCTCGAAAGCATGTAGGATGCCAGCCACGATCTTTCAATTTAAACTATTATTTAAATTTATCTGTCTAGTCAGATGGGTGTTAATTATGTCAAAGCTGTGTGCCAATGACTCAACAATTATTTTCCTAATCTATGGATAGATGGTCTTAGTCAATTGATATATTGAACATCCGGATCCATAATTTTAAACTTAATTCTATGGATACCTAGCACACAAAACTCGCTGAACGAACATCATCATCATCAGTAGCTCGATAACCCTTTCTGGGTCTTCCCAGGAAGGGGATTTTCCGCCATTATGTTCTGTTCCTTGCTTTGTTTTTCCAATTGATAATCTTAAGTGTTTTCAGATCTTGTTCCACGTATCTAAATTTGGGTCTTCCCTTCAAATTAGATATGTAAAATTTTTCACGCTTTCGATGTTATAGTCTCCTATTGTCAGATTATGAAGGTTTCTTTGGCCTGTCGATTTGCTGGCCTTCATGTATTTGGTTTTTATTTCATTAATGTTTAGACCACTGTTTTGTGCCGCTCTTTCTATCGCATTAAATGCTTCTATCATCTCTCTTTCACTTCTAGCTATGATATCAACATCATCTGCAAATGCCAATATTTGTACACTTTTTGTTATTATTGTTCCTCTGGTTATTCCTCCTGTTATTGTTTACTTTTGATTCTCTAATGTGATAATAGAATACGGGATAGGGTATCTCCCTGTCGTAGGCCCGTTCTCACATGGATTGTATCTGTTAGTGCATTTTGAATTCGAATTTTGCTTTGTACTTTAAGTGTTTCTTTTACTATATCAATGAGTTGAGATGAAATATTAAACTCTTTCAGTACATGGATCAGAAATTCTCGATGGATGCTATCATAGGCACTCTCAAAATCAATGAAAAGATGTGTGTCTATATTAAATTCACTAGTCTTTTCCAAGATTTGCCTCAAGACGAAGAATCTGATTTGCTAGAAACCACATTGATATCCCCCAACTAGTTTGTTCCACATATGGCCTCAATCAGTCATACATAATATTTGACAGTATTTTATATACCACAGATAGTAGTGTTATTGTCCAGTAGTTTTTACATTGAAGCTGATCTCCCTTTTTATGTAGTGAGATAATTACTCCAGTATTCCAGTCTTGTGGCAGTTGTTTATTATTCCATATGTTCATTATTATTTTGTGTATCACATTCAATAGGGAGTCTCCGCCTTCCTTTATTAATTCTGCCCTAATGTTGTCTAATTCAGGTGACTTGTTGTTTTTCAGTCTGGTAACTGCTTCTTGCATTTCAGCTACTGAAGGGGGGGGGGTTGTTTCTCTGGTATCCATTTGATCCAGTATAATTCTATCATATAGTGGATCTACGTTTTTTTCAAAATTTTCTTTGAAGAATTCTGTCCATCTTTGTAGTATTTCATTCACTCTGTTGAGTTTCTTTATCTCCTTCTTGTCTCTGCAAATCATTGTTCTTGGTTTAAATTCTTTTCTCCTTTTGTTAAGGTTTTGGGAGAATTTGCTGGTCTCTGATGGTTTAGTTAGTTCTTCCATTTCTTGGAGTTCTTTTTCTATGTGTTCTCTTTTCTATCTGCAATGTATTTTCTTCTCTTCCCTCCTTAGCATTCTATATTCCACCTCTGCCTTTTGTGTTCTGTAGTCGTTGATATGCATTATTTTTCCTCTCTGTTATGTTATGACAATCTTCATCGAACCACTGTACTTCAGTTGATTTGAGCTGTTTTTTGTAGACCCAGGGTCTCTTTGGCAGCGTCTTGTATGATGTTTTTACATGCTTCCCATTCTCTGTTTATATCTATATTCTTTGATTTTGCCTTTTGCTAAAAGAATAGAAATCAGAAAATTCGACAGGAATGTGCAGAAATTACGCCAAAATTAAAAAATGTAGTAGACAATATTTGTACACATTTTCACAAATATATCAAACTAATTGGTGAAATAGTAGAAGAAGTGTGTTATTCTTCCTTATTCTTATTTTCCTTTCAGCATTTTCTATAAAAACTCCAAAACTATATAAATTATTTATTTACAATAAAAAGTATCATGTTATTTTACTGCCTATTTTTAATACCTACAAACTAATCAACAACTTTATTATATTTATACTTTCCACGCCACTCATTGGGTAATGGACATGTACCAGAGCAAGGTACTTGTCCAGGGATTTCGCAAATGCACTGTTTGTCATAACCTTCCCCAAAGTTAGCAGGGTTGTCTTTTTTCTCCTTAGCCATAATTTCTGCCTCCAAAACATCCCTATAAATGGAAACTGAGTTAATTTAATCAAAAAAGGAGGATTATTATTAAGTTAAAAAGTAATTTAACGTATAGAGCCATCAAAAAAGAGTAATTGAGCAGTAAGTATATGATAGAAAAATAACGGGTTGGAATTTTATCCACCTGCAAAGAGTGACATACTTTAGTGTTTACCAATTATAAATAAAATTTTATATATTAGAAAATTCAGTTAATTAGAGAGAAGAAGTTAAAGGTAGACATTCTTTTCAACGAAGTATTGTTTCATTGAAATTTCCTATTGTATGTGAAGAAATATAGTATCAAATACAGAAAAGATTTGAAAATTACACTGAACTTACTTGGATTTTCCTACAACATTTATTAAGTGCTCCAGAATGTCTTCCTTTGCTTGATTGTATGTATCTACCAGCATGTGTTCACCTGTATCTAAAAAATAAACAAACAAAAGCTAAAATAACCAGAAAATACAATTAATATGGAAATATTTACCATAGAAACATCTGATGAAGGGTGTAGGTGTCATATTCTTCAAAGTGGCTATTTGCACTTCTGGATTTTTGTATTGTATTTGTGGAAGGTACCAAAAAACAAAATCTCTAAAAATTAAAAGTTAAAAAAATTAAATGAGCCCAAACATAAGGAACATTTTAAAATTATGACTATACTAAAAACACAATCAAGATGCACTAGAAATAAACAAATCAAAACACATTGAATGTTGTAAGGAGCAGTTCCAAATCATGATTTACAGTGTATATACATTGAATAAATCCCAAATCATGATTTAAAAAGTTAATACATTGTAAATCATAATTCGGGAGTGCTCCTCGTAATTTTAAGTATCTTGGTTTGATTATTTCTAGTGCATCTTGATTGTGATTTTAGTATAGAATCTGCACTTTTTACAGAAAGCAATTATTATTGTTATTTAATTATTATTTTTATTTCCTTCGAAACTTTGTAAACTCATGCATAAGAATGCAATTGATATATTATAGTAATTCTGTTGTCTTCCTCATATTTAACTGTGTATAATGTATTAACAAATCTCACCTGGTACCTTGATGTGGTTTTCCATGTATGTTATAATTCACTGTAACTATTTTTATTTTGTCTTTTAAAACTAATTTTCCTGCTTCTAAGTATTTTATGGTTCTCCTGATAGGAGCTCTTCCTATCATAAAAGGCATTTCGAGCTTTAAAAACACTAACAATTGTTTGAAATTATTTCTTATTCCATTACCAATTTTTTTTAGGTTATGTGATATTAATTAACGTCAGATTCTTCTTTTTTAAAACTGCTGCGACTTTTAAGATTAGAGACAACAGTCCAGTGCAGTGTACCGATGATGATGAACATGACTACAGGGATCGTTTCTTATTTTTGCTTGGAACTGTATGAGTCATTAATTATTTCAAATTATGGTGTTTCCTAATGCTACAGGGGACGTTTCAAATATTTATAGTTCCAGAACAAGTTTCTCATGCGATAAGTTTTCTTTGTTTGCCTAGATTATGAAAACTTCATTCTCTATAATTCTTTATAGTATGACCTGGTTTTTATTTAGCGACAAATTTATTGTCGCTCAGGTATCGGGGGTACTATTGTAATCTACGTACAAGAGACTTATTGGCAAATATCGTGTTGATAAGCAGTTTGAATTAAGTGGTGTTTTAGTTAAAGCATATTGCAATTTACTATACCTATGTATATTAAATTGCTATAGATCTCATTCAATTTTTAACACTTTCTGTAAATCGCTAGAGGCGAGAAGATAGTCAAACCTAAAATGTATTTAATTATATGATCTGATAGGTTTCCGCGGCCAGTACAATTATACCTATAGCTAAGATTAATATCTATTAGAAAAATTAATATCAAACCTACCTAGTTTCCGAGTTGAACAGTGACAAATGAGAGAACACAGAAATATGCTTTCGGCTTCCCCTCTGTAGGCTTCATCAGGGCTTCCTCTCTGAAGTCTTTAATAGGGCTTAATTCTGAAGTCTTCATCAGAACTTCCTTTTGAAGTCTGAAATCTTAACCTTTAGGTTTAATTGTACTAACCACTAAACGAGCATTTAAATGAAAGGTTATGTTAAAATATTTTTAGAAAAGTCGGTTTTGTGCTAAAATGTTAGTTTATATTCACGGCGAATATCTAGTTTTGTAGTACTCTTCGCATCTTCTTCTTGTAGTTCCTTCTCCTATCGGAGGTTGGCTATCATCACAGCTATCCGTATCTTATTGGCGGCTGCTCTGGAAAGATCTACTGAGTTGCAACTATAGGTTTGTTCCAACCCGTCACATTACCGTTATTGAATGGTTACGAGTATGAGCAGTAACACATTTTTCGTTATTGAGCATACTCGTAACCATTCAAGAACGGTATTTGTGGCGAGTTGGAACAAACCTTCTCTCCACTCTCTTAGGTTTCTTAACCAGGAAATTCTTAGTCTTCCTATGGATCTTTTACCCTTGATTTTACCTTGCATTATGAGCCTGAATATCTCATATTTCGCACCTCTGGTAATGTCGCCTAAATATTCCAGCTTTCTTGTTTTGATGTGCTTTATGACCTCGCAATACTTTTGTAGCCTTCTTAACACTTCTGCATTTTTAACTCGTTGGGTTCCATGGTTTTTTTTTCAAAATCCTTCTATAGCACCACATCTCAAATGATTCCAACTTCTTTATATTATACACTTTTAGTGTCCAGCTTTCCATTCCATACAACAAAGTTGAGAACACTTAGCATCTTAAGGCTCTTATCCTCAGCTCCAGAGGAAGGTCTCGATTAACAAACATTGTTTTCATTTTATAAATGCTTGTCTTGCAAATTTCAATGCGTGTCCTTATTTCTCTACCTTGGTCATTGTTTTTATTTACCCAGGTTCCCAGATATTTGTAGTTATTCACTCTTTCTACTTGTTTTCCGTCGATATCTAGCCTTCCCACTGTATGTTGCTTATAAATATTCATGCACTTGTTTTTGTTAACGTTCATTTGTAGTTCATATTTACTACTGACTTACTTATATTGCTTCCTTAAAATAGCTCCGCTACAGTTGAATGACAATGGGGACAGCACGCAACCCTGTCTAATACCTATTTTGATTTCTATAGTTTCTGTATCGACATTTTCGATTCTAACGTTTGCTTTTTGATTCCAGTGCAGATTGACAATAACCCGTATATCTTAAATATCCACATTCTTTTCTTATAATAAATATAACAAACGAGTCTTCTACAGCTGGCGCCGCTTCTCGCATCCTAATTTCCAGCGTTTTCTGTCGAAGCAATCTTCAGTTGTTAGATCTCTAGAGGTCATTGCATCGTCGACATCGTCTCTCCAGGATCGTCTTGGTCTACCTCGTTTTCTTCTAGTTGGCGGAGTCCATTCTTCTATTTTTTTTTGGCCATCTAGTTTCCGGCATTCTCTGAAAGTGTCCATACCAGTTAAGTCTTTTGGCTTGGATTGTGTCTATTATGTCTAGATCGATTTCCATTTCTCTCCGAATATCTTCGTTTCTCACCCTATCAAGTCTAGTGAGCTGGCAACATCGTCTCCAGTAGTTCATTTCCATGGCCTTAATTTTTGATTTGTTTCTTTGGTTTATTTCCCAGAGTTCGGCGCTGTACAGTCCAATACTTTCTATTATTGTTTTATAAATTCTTCTTTTATTTTCTTTTGTTATTTTTTTATTCCATAATAGTCCGTGTAGCTGTCTGGTGACTGATCTTGCTTGGCCAATCCTGGAATGTATTTCTTCGCTACTTCCTGCTTTTGATGTTATTTGGACTGACAAGTACTTAAAATTGTCTGTTGGTTTTATAGTTCCCATTTCGATTTGTAGGCTTTCTGGTTTTTCTCCTACAACTAAGTACTCAGTTTTTTGTATATTAATTGTGAGGCCCCATTTGGTGTACTCATCTTCCAGTTTTCTAAGCATGTAGCTTATATCACTCTCGTCTTCAGCTAGAATGGCTTGGTCGTCAGCGAAGTGTATCGTGTACAATCTATCATCTCCGATTGGGATGCCCATATTGCAGCACTTTCTTCTCCACAGTGAGAGTGCCTCATTTAGATATATTTTGAAGAGTGTAGGTGCTATGCAGCAGCCTTGCTTTAGGCCCTTACTAATAGGAATTTCTCTAGTTAATCTATTTCCAGTTTTAATGTTTGCCGTCATATTTTTGTAGAGCTGTTGTACTGCTTGTATATATTTTTTGCTTATTCCTTGTTTTTCCATTGCTACCCAAAGCATTGAAAGTGGTACACTATCGTATGCCTTTGTCAGATCTATAAAGACTATATGAGTTGAAAGGTTGTGGGCTAATATTTTCTCGATAACTTGCTTTAGAGAGAATATACTGTCCATGCAGGATCTGCCTGCACGAAAGCCATTCTGTTCTTCTACATCTGTCATCTCTTTTTCAATTTTATTTTTTATTATTTTTCCATACAGTCTTGAGAGTGAATTTATGACACTTAGCCCTCTGTAGTTTGAACAATTCTTTCTATCTCCTTTTTTGTAGATGTTGTTAATATGTGCTTTTGTCCACTCCCGTGGTAAGTCGTGTCCATTTAATAGAATAAGGTGAAGACATACGCCAGTAATTCCCATAATACTTGTGGGCTATGTTTTAATAATTCATTTGGTATACCTTGTGGTCCGCATGACTTCCGATTTTTTAGAGTTCGTATTGCATTCTCGACTTCCTGTACTGTTATTTCATCGTCTTCACTGAATTCCAGTTCATATGTTGTTGTACTGATGCTCGTGAATTGAGGTCTTGTTTCTGTCAAAAGTTGTGAGTAGTGTTCGATCCAAGATTTTTCTTCTATTAAATCTATTCTACTCGTTTCTTTTCTGTTTGTTCTCAGATTTTTTACAGTTTTCCATGCTTCTCTTGATGTTGTTGACCCTATATATTTGTTGAGTTCTTCGCATTTACTTTCCCAGGAAATATTTTTTGCTTTAGTTACTAAATTTTTTACTTCTCTGTTTGATCTTGCATATGTTCGTCTATCATCTGGATCATTTGTTTGCAGCCACTTTTGATATGCTTGTTTCTTGTTGTGTACTGCATTGGCGATGTCATTTGTCCACCACAATGGAGTATTCTTTTTGTTCTTTTGGATTGTGCCGAGCGCTTCGTAAGCTGCTTCATTGATTTTATTGATTATCTCTTTATAGGTATTCTGGGCTGAGGAGTAGATCAGGTTTGCGAATTTTTGGCTAAGTCGCAGCTTATATAAGAATGATGTCGAGTCGTTTTGCAGTGCATCAATATTGTATTTAGGTAGATTCGATTCCAGGGGTTTTGATTGAGCTAGTTGGTTGTCATTTTGATGTAGTAGCCGAGGTCGATACTGTAGGTAACATTTTGATTTTACCATATAGTGGTCAGTTCCGCACTCCGGTCCTCTTAATACTCTTATGTATTACACATACATTCTTCTCTTTTAACAGTTTTACTCTTGCTAGTTTGTCTTAATTTCAATGAGCTTTTATCCAACAGAATGAAATTTCTTTTGCATCCATGAATGTGTTTCATGTTCAATATCAATATTTTTATGTGCAGCAACATTTTAATCAATTTTTGAGGCGTCTGTATAGTATTAATTTAGTAAATCTGTGGACAGTTTTTCTATAGTTTCATAAACGTAGATTTCCTTAAGTTCATTCGGGATTTTGAATAATTTCTCATGTAATTTAGCTACATCTTGAGAAGAAATATTAATTAAAGTATATTTGAAATGTGGGTGATATTCGTGATGTATATAGTTTATTTTTAAATTGCCTCAAGTTGTTCTAGATTTCAACAAGTAGTAAATTACGGTTTTTTTCGAGTAATTACTTATTAGATTAAGTAAAAAAGTTTGTCGCTAAGTGTTGGGAGATGAAAAAACAGTTCAAACGTTTTCCAATTATATTTCCTGTCAACTAAGGCATCTAACTTATTTTAAATATGATGTCTCTCGCCGAAAATATCCATCTACGATTGAAGTCATAAATCTGTTAATTTTATTTGTTTATTTTAAATTATTTCTTTGTTTCCTCCAAAGATTTCGCTAATAGACACTGCTTCTCAAGACTTTAAATTTTTGCTAAATATTCATCACAAGAACTACACGTATCGGTTCTTGGAACACCAAACGAAATATTAAATATACTTGAAAAATACTTCTATATGTTTCGTATGAAGTACGCATGACTGGAAATTTTTCTACGTACA